CTGCTCTCTTTAGGGTGCGAGTGTGCTCATTATGCCACGGTGTCAAACTGTTTTCCTTAATCTTCCTTAAGCAGAAAGGAGCAACTGTATTTAAAATGCTAGAAAAGAGAGTCCATAGTTTCTGTTACATCATCAAGTGGTTCTGAGGTGTTGGATAGGCTGTGGAATTGAGATAATCAGGAAGATTACTTACAAAGCAGTCTTCTGTGGTAGAAGTGATGGTTCTACCATACTTGTTACAATGATTAGAATTTACAGTTTTAGCTATATGAAGTTTGCACACGACTAGATAATGATCTGAGATATCATCGCTTGGCTGCATAATTTCAACACCATCAACATCAATTCCATGTGACAGTATTAAATCTAGAGTATGATTTCGACAGTGAGTAGGTCCTGACACGTGTTGTCTAACCCAATAGAGTTCAGAATGTCTATGGATGCTGATCCCAATGCATCTTTTTCATTATCAACATGGATATTAAAATCACCAACAATTAAGACTTTAGCTGCAGCCAGCACTAACTCGGATATAAAATCAGCACATTCTTTAATAAAGTCTGTATGGTGCCCTGGTGGCCTGTATACAGTAGCCAGTACAAACATCACAGAGGATTTATCATTAACACTTGTTTCTCTGGATAATGTTATATGAAGCACCATTACTTCAAACGAGTTATACTTGAAGCCCACCCTCTGAGAAATACTGAAAATATTGTTATACATTGTAGCAACACCTCCCCCGTTAGCTTTTGGACATGGCTCATGTTTATAACAGTAATCTTGGGGGGTAGACTCATTTAAAATAATGTAATCATCTGGTTTTAGCCAGGTTTCTGTCAAACAGCACATCTAGGTTATGATCGGTGATCATATCATTTACAAAAAGTGCTTTCGTAGAAAGGGACCTGATATTCAATAAGCCTAGCTTTGTCATTTGTTTATCCATATTACATCTGTTTTTTATTTGTTGAACATCAATTAAATTGTGACTCTTAAATTGGTTTGGACGTTTTGGTTTGGTTTGGACAATTGTACTTACTCATTTGCACATGTGCCACAAACCATGTAATTTGTTTAAATCAATAAGGAATTCAAATCTGATGTGAACAAGAAACCAATTGTTCAGACATGTGAACTTATTGTTTTAAGAAAAACTCTCATTCAAGAATTGAGCCAAAGCGATTGAGAAAGCGAATTTATTCATAGTCAATTAAAAAAGGAAATGAAGAAAATATATATGTATATTTTATTCTAGTGAAAACACTGAACCACATCAGAACACTACAAGTATATTAAAAATGTATTCTCTCAGAGGCACCAGTGGATCGCTGATGATGTCTCTCAGTCTCTTGCATTATGCAGCAATGTTTGGATCCAAGCTTATCAGATGCCGTGTCTCCACGGCTTTTTGTCACAATATTTAAGTGAGAAAGAAAACAATTGAAATGCAAGTGCAAAAAGAAACAAAATGTACATAACCAAGGGATACACTCCATCTGGGATAGACACTATGGGGAATCCCTCCAGCATGAGCAGCACCTGAAGCACGTGTTTAAACATGTCAATGTCTTTGGCTGACGACAGTCCTAAGTTTCATGCCCTATGCAAGGAAAGTCACCGCGTTTACACCTTCCTCGATTCCTTACACCAGGCCAGGCGATTCAGTGCCCATCCCAAAAGCAGAGCTCAAAGGTCCGAAGAGCCCTTAAGACACTTACAGTTCACAGGCGGCAGAATAAAAGTTACGCCTTCTTTCTTTGCGTGAACATTTGGGCGGCGTTATGCAAATCTTCCCACATAGTGAGGTAGACATGTGGGGGCGTGTTAGAACGAGCCGTTTTAGGTAGGCGTGGTTGACTCTTAACTTTTATAAAGAATATCTCTTTAGATTTGAGACTTTAGTCTTTGCAACTTTACAGATCTTCTTTATGCACCAAGAGCTTGTAACACTCCAAAGAGAAAGGAAAACTTGAAATCGCACCATATGACCCCTTTAAAGACATCTTTCGACTGACTCTGAAAAACACCAGGATAAAGATGCCCAGGGTTCCTGATCACCTCTGTAAACATGCCATTGTCCTGCTGCAGGAGTCATGAGGACAGAGCAATAAACTGAAGTGTCTGTAATGTAAGACGCCTAAGGCAGAGCTACAGGGAGACAGGATGGACAGCTGATGGTTCCTTGTAATGCCAGATCACATGTGACCATAGTGGAGTAACATCTCACAGCAAGAACTGGCAAACCTGCTTCAGTCCATGAGGATGAGATGCACTATAGTAATTAAAGCAGCTGGTGGTTGCACAAGATACTGACTGCTGCTTTTGATATTACTTTTTTTTTTTTGCTCATACAAATATGTACACACGTTAAGAAATTCCCTCAAATAAAAGCAGTTGAATGTGAGAAGACATTTCCTTGTTTAGTTGTGTACTATAACTTGCGCTGAGCACAGCCGTCTCTGGCTCAGCACCAGCTAAAGCACAAAAGCAGAGCTGAATTTAGCAGTTAATCTCATGACACACCAGTGTGATCGTACACATCTAAGGGTAACTTTATCTCTGAAATTCTGATCATTTGTAGAAGGCTTCTTTCCAGTGTGCATTCATGTGTTTTTTAAGGTTTCCTTTTTGAGAAAAACGTTTTCCACACTGTTGACAGGTGAAAGGGTTTTCTCCAGTGTGAATTCTCATGTGGACTACAAGGTTTCCTCTTCCAGTGAAACTCTTCCCACACTGAGGGCAGGCGAAAGGCTTCTCTCCTGTGTGAATTCTCAAGTGGGCCTTAAGAGTTTGTTTATGTGCAAAACTCCTTTCACACTGAGGGCAGGTGTAAGGCTGCTCTCCAGTATGAATTCTCATATGGTTGTTAAGGCTTGCTTTTCTCATTAAACTCTTTCCACATAGTTTGCAGGTGTAAGGCTTCACTCCAGTGTGACCTCTAATGTGCCTGTTAAGGATTACTTTTTGAGTAAAACTTATTCCACATTGAGGGCATGAGTGAGGCTTTTCTCCAGTGTGAATTCTCATGTGATAATTAAGGTTTCCTTTTCTGCTGAAACGTTTTCCACACTGTTGACAGGTTAAATTACTTGTAGTTCCAGTCTTTTGAGCTCTTTTTTGTGAGGAAGTCTTTTCAGTATGTGAGCAACTAAATGATTTTTCTCCAGTTATGAAATTATGTTTCTCATCCTGATCTTTATCTTCCTTTTCATCGAGTCCTTGACTCTCCTTTTTCGGGGACATCAGGTCTAAGGCAAAAAAGACAAATACAATTTAACACCGTTTAATGGCACAAAACAACAAACATCAAGAGAAAACCAACAGCATGTATGCTATACATTATATGCATTAAGCTACTACAAGAGGTGTTGACAACACAGACCACAGCATTCTCTTGGATAGTTTGAGAATTAACTTGGCATATGGTTTAGGTCCTATCTATCCAACTGATACCACTTGTGTTTGATGAAACATCTGGTCATTTACACAAACAAAGTATGGAGTGCCACAGGGCTCAGTATTAGTACTCATTATTAGTACTGCCAGGGCTCGACAGTGCGACCATTTCAGTCGCATTTGCACTTTTGACATTTTTTTTAGGAGCACCAGTGCGACTGACCCGATTATCATCATACTTGTGATTGCGCTCAGGGGAGCTTCAAAGGTTTCTACGTGTTTTTGCAGCGTTGAGTAATGTATCACAGACATATCTCACGAATCCTTTCATAAGCAAAGTGTAGACAGGGTGTAAATAAGAGATTCATCGCGCAGTGTAGAGAGCTTCGTTGATTATAAATGTGAACTCGCGATGAACTAAGATGAGTGACCGCTTTTAATGATTTTTAAGGGAGTTTGTAAATGTGATAACGGATTTAATACAATACAATTCAATAAACAAGAAGCTAATATTAAGTGACTTACATTGTCTGACTATAACACTATTGTCTGAGTTTGCTCTATTTCGTCGTCGAAAATAGTTTAAAACAAAGACACAGCGCATCTCCATTCAAACACAGCGGTGTCTCGTTTATGAATGAACGGGGTTTTTAAACGAATCTAGCGAGTCAGTGATTCATGATTACCCATTCATAAATACTGTCACTTGATTCATTCTTGAATTCTTGAATCAGCCGTTCAAATGAATCAATTGAGTTCATGATTCAGTAATAAAAATCAGTGACTTGCCGCCACCTGCTGGCAGTTTGTTTCATTTTTAAAGTATCTTTTCAGTTATTTAAATAATTTAATATTTCTATATTCAAAATGTTATATTTAAAACATTAATATCATCATGGATTTAATTGCACTCATTCCACTTCTGAACCTCATTAAATGTCTGAAAGTACATCAAGCCACTTTTGTGTTCTTCTGTGCCACCTCTACAAATTAATTTAGTTAATACCGATTTCATTTGATTTTTAACTTATGTTTCTTATTCAACTCTTATTCTGTCGTTTTAATCAAAAATGTTAAAAAGCTTATAAAATATATATATTTTTAAGAATGACAAAAGAGGACATACTTTTAATAAAGTTAGAGGAGTCAAATATCACCTCGTAATGGGAAGGCTACTTTTTGATAACATTTTGGATTATTGATTAGAAGGTGCTCCTAAATTTTTTAAGTTAAGAAAAGTAAGCGTCGAGCCCTGACTGCCACAGCCATATCACCCTGCAGCCCAAGACTGGTTGCCCACTGAAGCTAAGCAGGGTTGAGCTGGTCAGTACCTGGATGGGAGACCTCCTGGGAAAACTAGGTTGCTGTTGGAGGTGTTAGTGAGGCCAGCAGGGGGTGCTCACTCTGCAGTCTGTGTGGGTCCTAACGCTCCAGTGTAGTGACGGGGACACTATACTGACAACAAGCACCGTCCTTCGGATGAGATGTTAAACCGAGGTCCTGACTCTCTGTGGTCATTAAAAACCCCATGGCACTTCTCGTAAAAGTGTAGGGGTGTAACCCCGGTGTCCTGGCCAAATTGCCCCCCTGGCCTTTGTCAATCATGGCCTCCTAATAATCCCCATCCACTTGATTGGCTCTATCTCTCTCCTCTCCACCTGTAGCTGGTGAGCGCACTGGCGCCGTTGTCCTGTGGCTGCCGTCACATTCAGGTGGATGCTGCACACTGGTGGTGGTTGAGGAGAGACCC